TTCAAGTTTTCAGATGGGTTTTGTTGAAGCAAAGCATTCTCATCGCCAACAAAGTTTCCCCATTGTTCTACTGCTCCATCATAGGGTCGGGTATTGGTCGGAACAAGCGCGCGATTCATTTGCCGTCGAGCAAGTGTGTTCGATGGCGTCGACACAGGCTGAGCATATTGTGGCTGTGCCGGAACCAGACCAAAAGAGTTCCCAACGTGAGCATTCCCATCCATGATACCATCAGCACCGTTCATGAAGCTCGAAGGGTCGCCCATTCCATTCCAACGCATCACCTGGTCGCCAGCCGGGTTCCCCGCGTTGTACTGTGGCTGCATTGGCTGCGGTATAGGCATCATTGGGGACGCTCCTGGTGCTGCTCGTTTCCTTGGGTTGGGCGCTGACATGAAAATGGTTCTGGCTCAATCGTTGCTTCTTCAGAAGCGGTGAGATCAAATTTCTGTGATTGGCGCGATCGATGTCTAATCTAGTCGGGTATGGGTTTGAGACTGCAGATGTTGGTCGCCTTGGAACCAGTTCGCCTCGTCGCCTTGATGGAAATCGATTTCACGTAATGCGTGCCTTGGGATGGCGATGGCCCAGAGAGTAATTGTGACTTTTATTAAGACTTCTGTAATTGCGGGTGCGCAAACGTTGTCCGTGGTAAGCGGTCAACGACTTATCTTTTGCTCGGCCGTGTCCGGGTTGTGATGAGGGAAAGTGTTCGACCGTCTCGAGGGAGTAGATGGGAATCGCGAGATAGCCTTGGGAGGTAAATGCGAAAAGTTGTCGCAAAAGCCACAGTCAAACGTGATTGATGGTGAAGAGGCACAGCCTTAAAGGAATGATTATGGAGAAGACGGGCGGGCGCGGGACTGAGATCTAAGGACAGCCACTCGTTTGCTCTATCTTCGTGTACGGAGCTCGCGTAGTGATGCCTTAAAGCAGTGTGAGTTGCGCAGCGCGTTTGCCCAAGTTATGTAGTCTGAAGAAAAAGGCTGAAGGGCAGCCTGTGGTCTCGGTCGGTGGGCCTTGCTCTATATAGATCAAGGAAGATAAGAAATGGTGAGCGGCATACCCATCCTGAAACGGTAAGTAATAGGCGATGCACAGGCCGGAAGCTGAAGCGAGCAAGTACCGATGTTGCGATTGAATGGTGGTGCAGTTTGCGTGACGGTGATGATGCTGGAGTTGATGGTCGCGCTGCGAATGGGTCTTCCGGAGCATTTGGAGCGGGCGGATTGAATGTCGAATATTTTTGGGCCAATCAGATTTCTGTCAGAGACATGGGCCCAGGTCTTCACGTGATGATAAGACGACGTATCTCGATCTTGGACGTTGAAGAAAGCCACGACTTTGTAGCCTCTTGGTGGCGCTTTGGCAGTTTTTCCTAACTCAGTTCTGTAAGCTCTATCAATTTCAGAGACAGAATGTCTCACTTTAATTACTTGCATCAAATTCGGTCATCGACTACAGGAAAAATAGTCAAAACTTCATCATCACCATGTGTCCTCGAGGATCGAGATCGGTCATGACATGTATTGTGGGGACGGCAGATACGACTCGTAATGCCACTTTTCTTCAGCGAACAAGCATTGGCGTCATCCTATCCCATGTCAGCTCAGACTAGGAGGGGCACTATTGAACCTGGCCTGATGCTTTTATGCTGGGTATCATGGACAGACTATTCCTATTATGGTCTCAAACTTCACTTGTCACCAACAGCTTTGAACCACACTTGGCCTATCTACCTGATCTTCTCGGTTACTTTGCTCCTCGACCTGCAAGCGATGCTGCCTGAGCCATCTTAGCATTCCTTGCTGCATCTCGTGCCTGGTCCCATGCTCTTCCGGAGTTTCCCTGCCGTGCATCGCGCGCAGCTCTCTTCTCATCCTTGAGAGTCCGAGCCTTCTCGCGCGGATCAATGACAACAAGTTCTTCTTCTGCCTTCTTACGGTTGCTAAGGTCCTTGCCTAATTTGTCTGCTGCGAAGCTGAGGGAGTGAGACATCCATCCTTCATCATCGCTCTCATCTTTTTCCTGCTTATCCCAGGATGTACAGCTTTGACAATTTGCGATGAAGTGTAAATCACATAACTCAGCTTCGTCATCTGGAGCATGTGTACTTCCCTCTTCACGCACAACCCCGGTTGTTGTATGTTCGTTACCCTTTTCCGGCGGTGCCCTCTCCAATCTCGATTGGAAGGCCTTCAGCATGCCGAGTGTTTTTGCGTCCTCACTCGCCGAGGTGTTGGCAGCTCCGGGCCTTCGTTTCCGGCCCCTGATTGATGTTTCAGGGATCATGGCTTCGAGTGCAGACTTCTTCTTCTCCTTCACAGGCTCCTCCGCATGAATGGTCCGCCGCATCGATGCTTTCAGAGCGGCCATCTCCTCGTTGGCTCGCTCTAGAGCGGTCTTTTTGGGAGCCTCCGGTTCAGGTGATTGGTCCTTCACCTCCCTGATCGTAAGCGAACCAGGACTCCGCCGCGTTTCATTGGATGGCTGATCAAGCGTGGGTTTCCTCGGCGCTTTGTCATTTATCTCATCTGCGACTGATGGGAGCTTCTCCGTAGCTGTTGGCTTCTTGGCTTTCGGCTTCGCTGGTTTCCTGGGGATTTCGTTTTCCTCCTCATCTTCCATGACAATTCTCGCATCAAATTTCTTTTTCTTAAGCACTGGCATGTCGTCATCACCTTCCTCGTCGCCGAAACTGAGCAGCTGTTTCCCGCCTTTCCGTTTCTTCTTCTTATCCTTGCTTGTTGCTGCTGCTGTTTTATTAGATGGGGCTTGGGTAGCCACTCGAGATCGCTTCTTCATGTCATCGAAGGGGTTGACCAGTATCTCTACTCGTTCGATTTTCACTGGGTAGGTCGGTCGTTCCGTTGCTTCGTCCACTTCCCCGTCACCCATTTTAGCCAAGTTGTAGATTGTGTCGCCAGCAATTCGTCCAAATAGAGTGTTCTTTCCATTGAGCTCCTCGGCCCTGTCGAGCGTGAAGAAGAACTGGCTACCATTGGTATCTGGACGCGATTCGTTCGCAGAACCCAGCAGACCGCGCCTGTTGAATTTGAGTCGAGAATGGAATTCGTCCTTGAAATTGATTCCTGTTGGTCCTGCATTCTTCCCCTGGCGCTGGTCCATCGGCCATGGATCTAGGTCGCCGCTGAATGCGCCTCCATCGTAAATGGACTCCCCTCCATTGCCTGTGCCTGTGGGATCTCCACCTTGCAATATGAAACCTGGAACTAATCGATGGAATATTGTGTTGTCGTAATAGCCGTCGAGCGCTAGTTGTAAGAAGTTGCGGCATGTCAACGGCGTTTGCTTCGCGAATAACTCGACGGAGAGTTCGCCCCGGGTGGTGTGAATAATAACTGAGGCAGTGGGCTGCGGTTCAAGATTATAGATCGCCGACATTGCGACGCCTTGAATCTTAGTGAACGGAGATTGTGTGTTTACTTGTTGAGGTTGTAGAATTCAAGTCGCGTGTGACGAAGACTGGAAGAGCTAAGGAAGAAGCTTGGCTTGGCCTGCATGGAAGATCCACACGGAGTCTTATCGATAACATCATCGGATGGAATCTTTTGTAGATGGAAGGAAAAGGCGGAATATAGTAGTTATGAGAGAAGCGAAACCATTTTTTGTTTAGCAATTGCAATAATATCCCTTTAATTGTTCTATCTAAATTTAGGTTTCTTATCCTAAGGCTAAGACTAGATTAATAATAATATTATATACGTCCAGAATCTGGCGGTTTCTTCTGCCCAACCTTGAAAGCGTCAGCATGCTCTGTCGTCAATACCAATGTTGCACAAATAAATGATACTGTCACCAACACACTACGATCGCAAAACTACCGTATTACAAAAACGTTATTCCTGCAGGAAGTCAAAGAACTGTGTCAATGATACTCTTGATTAGCCCACAAACAAATGGAGAAACTAGGTGTTTATTTACTGGCTAGCAAAACTGTTATTCAACAAGCGGGTCCCCACAACCTTACGGTGAGATGGCCGAGTTGGTTATGGCGCCAGGTTAAGGTTAACCTTAACACCAATTTCCTGGTGGAGCAATCCTCCTGGGTTCGAGTCCCAGTCTCATCAAGATGTTCTTTTTGCTCTCTCTAAAGGAATAATTACTTGTCAGCTTTTGCTCTTGCTCCGGTCGTACACAATTCCCTAACTTCTTTACCGTAGTCCTGTAGAACCCGTAGTTGCCTGTTAAACTATGAGTTATGCCTTGACTTGTGCTACTTGTGCCAATAGAATTTGTTTGAAACGTCTACAATAAACACAGTTCACATGAAATTTCTAACATAGAGAAATTATTATAAATAACACGCATTTATAGCTTTATTCAGAGCAGCTTCAACTATAATCTTGTTATCACCTGTCGTCCACGCAAACACTGAGGGCTTGCGTTCAGATGAACACTCTTTATTCACAATTGTTCATGTAGCCCAAGATTTAACCGGTTTTAGCAGATCCCCGCATGTTAATATAAAGTGTCTCGAGCTCCGCGTTATTCTTCCTTCATTACACGCGGCTTCAAAATTGCCGGTAAAGTCTCAGTTTCGATCTAGTTCATGTCGTCAGGCTGGTCGAGACGATAAAGAAGGTCACAAGAGACGCAACGCATCATAGCGACATTGGTGTCCTTCAAGAACTCTGGACGGATCGGTGAACTACCGGTTCTTCGCGGGCATGTTGTTCCCCAAATCCAAGCGGGCCTCCGCCCCTGGCTTCAAAATTTGCTTCAATGACAATAGTGGCGCAGGGCACCGTATATTCCACCTCGATATCAAGGATGTGAGAAAATGGCGAGACGCGTTCAAGCCAAAGAGGCTTGATACAAAAGCAGACCGAAGGCGTCAAGGTACTCGTGTATCAATGGGCCAATGGGCCATTGCCAATAGTTCCTTCGTAATTTGCAACCAAGAGGATACTCCGACTCCAGAACGCGAGCCAGTGTCCATGGACAGCGGGTCACCATGTGAGTCCCTAATTTTTACAATGGAGAAATTGGATCTTCTCGGAGACACGAAATACAATGGCACGGTTGATGCCGAGAGGGTTGCAGAACGGGTCAAGACCGAAAGGATCCTCGAAGGTACGTTGACGCCGGATCCTGACCGAGACTATGAAGGCGAATTTACCCTCTTGTTCCTATCATTCGAAGAGGCTCAACGGGAACGACAACCAGATATTGTTGATGATGGTTCGAAAGGGTGGAAATTTCTGCATGGCATTATCACCGCAGGGCAGAGCGATGAGCCCAGTGAACTTCCTGCTTACCATCCCAGCCAACGAGCATTTCTCCTTGCTCGGAAATTCAGGGGGGCTTTCCTGGTTACCTGTTCTATACGAAACATTGATGCTTGCAGCCATGCGGAACTCCTGAAGCTCATTTGGCAGATGGAGATGACCGGATGGAATGACATGATCTATGTCACCGAGAAGGACGAGGAGGTCCCTTACCGCATCGAAAGCAAGAAAAAAGCCGAAGTGTTGGAATGGGGACGTTTTGAAGACGATTATGAGCGCCCACCGATGCCAGCTAATGAGGTTAGGACAGGCAAGAAACTTAGGAGCTTTATCCTAGACAATAAGACGATTTCGGTAAGTTGAGCAGAACTCAGTAGGCCTTCAGACTAGTTGTTCTTGACACCTTACTCTGGGGGGTAGAAGTTTTCTTCTCCTGAAAGGGTAGTTTAGGATTCCGATGGACTTTAAAGGGTTCTGGTTGGTGAGCGTAGATTGAGAATATAATGAACGATGGTCTTCAAAATGGAGTTTGGTGTGGTATATGTTGCAATTTTCGTCTCCCCTCACTGATGTGCCGTAACAGTAGTACAGCTTCGTTCGAGGCATGGGTTAATGTCATGGCGTGACGAGCATTACGAAGGACATTGTCGTCATCTCAACCAGCGATCGGGTTGGCGTGGATCGTCACATTTTCGATATGAACTGGCTCCTTGGGTCTGTTCTTTCGATCCACTTCGATAGCTTCCATCTTGGCCAATGTCGCCAAACCCTCGTCGCCAATGACGCGCCCAAATACAGTGTTGAGTCCGTCCAGATGCGGCGCCTTGTCGAACGTGATGAAGAATTGCGATCCGTTCGTTCCAGGTCCCTTGTTGGCCATCGATAGCACGCCTCGGGTGCCGTGTCGTAGCGCAGGCCGGATCTCGTCTTCAAACGCGCCTCCCCATATGCTGCGTCCGCCCTTGGGGTTCTCGGGGGGATTTGGTGTTGCGGGTGCGCCAGTCTGTGCCATAAACTTGGGAATGAGGCGGTGGAATGGAGATTTATCGTAGTAGCCGGAGCCACAAAGGGCAAGGAAATTCTAGTAGGTGTGAGCGAAAGACTGGTGTTGAACAGGTACTGGATTATACAAACCTCTGCAGTTTTGGGAACGCTTTCGCAGTATATCTCAACCTTTATGTCGCCGTGCGACGTGTGCAAGGTGACTGACATAGTCGTTGTCTTCAATGATGATTTTAGCGATGAAGGAGATGCTATCTTTAGTTTGGAAGAAGAATACCTAATGATGCTGCGTGGTTGGGGTGTTGACAATGTAGCATTGAGAAGGTGATTGGGCGAAGAAGTTGATGATTGATACTTGATGACTAATACAATTGACGACTAGGACGTAGTACCTTACTGGGTAGGATATTTCTTAATCTCTAGGGAGCAAATGCTACTTCTACCTTGGGACTCATGGTTCTGATTCCTAGCGACTTATGGCTGTACTAATGAGTAAGGTATTCTGTAGATGAAATAGGTTGATGCGCGTTGACGAGGTGTTGAATGCGCTGAAATGTGCCTCGTATATTTGTCAAAACCAAGCCAGCCGCTCTTTCCCTTCCATCTATTATGGATGCTTTGCATGGCGATTCGTTTATCATCAAAATGTCTTTGCTTCATGGAGATTCAGAAAATAAATTGATAATAAGTGCGACTCTCACGTAAATATACTTTGCACGGCTGCTTTCAGCTCTCACAAATACTATCATCGATGGCTGCTATCGACACTCAGAACCCTCTCAAAAACTGCTCCTTTAAAGCTCGTCGCGCCTACCCAAGTTAGTGACAGTTAATCCAACATCATTCCTAATTAGAATGGTGCGACCCCTTTCTGCCCCTTCCTCCTTGACCCATCTCAACAAGATCACCGCACTCTGGACACAGACCGAGAATCATCATCATTCTTTTCAATACACCCCCGACTATCGGAGAGTTTTTAACGTCGTCTGCGCATGTTCAACTACTCTTCTTTTCTCGAGTCTGTTGTCTCAATACCTACGCTTCGCTGTTAGTTATGGAGAGGCTACCCCAGGAGTGTCGAGACATTGTTGCATCCTTTCTGGCCGGGTACGACGTGAAAAACCTGGTTCTCGTGTCGAAAAGGTACTACGACTTCTTTGTCGCGAGGAACTTGAGACGGCTTTGGTTTCAAGGTCTCCCTACATTTCTCTCCCACCAATTCACGTCCTTCCTTGCAATGAGGCAGTTCAGCCTTATCAGGTGAGTTACAATACGTCTTAAGCATATGGAATGATACTAATATTACCACAGGAAGATGGTAATAGTCCTACAGACGCGTGGGAGCGTCGGAACTCAACTATCACCGTACGAGAAACTTGGACCGTTACTTATCAATAGCATCTCGCAAATGACCGAACTGCAAGAGTTGGGGTTGTCACTCAAAGGCTGGCCCCAGGAACAAGAAGAGAATCTTTGTCAACTTTTAATGCGAACTCGGAAATGGGATAAGCTCAAATGTCTCAAAATCTCGGCTTCGCCAGAGATATTATGCGCTGTTCTCAGCCGCTGTGTTCCAGAGACCCTCGAAGCCGTTGGTATCAATGGGGACTACTTAACACGGATGTACGATGAGCTAGTACGTCTTTGCTCTTCTGCTGGAAGCCAACACTCTGTGAAGGAGCTCCATATTTCTCCCAACGAATAGGGTCCATTGTTAGATGAGCTGATCATTCTGAAAGTCAAAGACCATTTCAAAGCTCTCAAATGCCTTAGTATCCAAGGACGTTCGCATAGGCTTTGCGATCCTTGCTGGACGACTGCAGTCTTTGTGAGTCAACTACTCCAGAAACTTGCCGTTTCGAACGACAAGCTGTCCTATGTGTTGAAGAAGCTCACATCTACTTAGTCAGACTCGTTGAGCACAGTCTGTGATCTTCTTAACCAAACATCGATTCAAGAGCTCTGGCTTAGCATGCCATACATACACTTCAATCGAGCTTCTGTCCTTGAGTATTTGAACGGGCGAGTTTCAGATCCCGTCCAGTCTGAAGATGCAACCGAATCTGAGCTTGAGCGAGCGTATCGTAAACTGATTTTGGATATCGCTTCAGCATGCCATCGCATTCGCAAGCTAGTTATCGTTCAGGGGTCTGAAACTCGATTTGATCTTGTTGGAATCAGCCCTCCTCACAAGTATATGGGATTTACTCTTGTTGGAATCAGCTCTCCTGGCAACGTCATGGAAGTCAAGTTGTGTTAGAAGGGGAAAACAAGCCACTGCCTGTTGAAACTCCAGAGATTGTGAGCCACTTTCTTCCCTCATTGTTATCACCCTGATCCAGGTCGCTTTAGCCTCGTTTTATAGCACATACTGTTGACCAGACTGATTGCACCTTCGTTCATTGTTTTCCTTAGCTCTTCGCCATAGAGTTTGTAGAATAGGCAACTTATCGAACCAAGTTGTGACCAGTATGTGCTTGTTTGTTCAGTGTCTCGAGGCTTTCATAAGTCTTTGTGGCGCCATTCCTGAGAAGTTATTCATCAAAATCTAGAGACAAAAGTCCTCAACGACGAAGCAAATACACCTTAGGAGTATGCTGGAACTGAACAGGTATTTAACAAGAGATCCTGAGAATTCTGACCATGGAGCACAAAGGTCAAGGGATCCAGAAGGAAGGGGAGTATTTGAATCTTCTCTCAAACTTGAAGCGGATCAGACTGGGAACATCTCAATGCGGAGGGGCTTTTAAAAGCCCGCGGGGATTCACGTTGAATGGACATTGTGGCGAAGGGACAAGTTACCTACAGGACAGACTGTCACAACTGAAATGGAAGTCTTGCTCGGCCTTTTCATACTTGTCCAAACTTCTCGACATCTGGAGAAATTTATATGGAATACGGAGTTACCTTATATCAGGAAGTGCTGGAGTATTGGTACATAGAGAACAGACCAATTTGGGATATTCACCCTGGCTTGGAAACAAAGGCTCACGTTCAAATGATGCAAATGTATTGGAATTTATAGCTTCTTAGCTTGTTTAACCTCTCCGTATAAGTACCTATGCATAAAGAGATCTTGAACTCAATGGATGGATGTTCATACCCATACATGACATCACGCTCACATCCTCGCCCTTCCCGAAGGCTCGTCCAATCTTAGCGGCTTCTCCGGCATTAGCTTCCACTAAAACCCCCGTAATGCCCGCAGCCGTGGTCAGAAATCTGAAGACCTGGCACTACATGACAGAAACACTGGTGCAATCCTAGGCCTTGTAAATTAGACCCTTGGTTGATTTATTCTGGCTAGCCAATTGAGGATCGAACTTTTTGGCTCCCTGAGGTGCCCCTGGCTATCCCCTGGGGAATAACACACTAACAGTTATAGACCCACTGGAAACCTGCGCGAAATAAAAAAGTCCTTGCTGTGGTTGGTCCCGTCCGGACCGATCGGCCTCTCGTGTTGCTGGTTGCTTCGCATTGGCATTCAAATCTCCCGTGTCCCAGCTTTTCTCATCGTCAACTCTTTTTCCCCTTCCTCTTCTCTTCAACCTCTACCTCTTTCTTTTCCATTGTCGCCCTTGTTCTCCGTCGGCGGTCATTGTGTGTGATTAGGCAGAGTCTCACTGGGAAAGGAACGTCGTGTCAAGGACAAGCATCGCATCGCATCGCCGAAGGAACAATAACAAAACAACAACAATGCACGCATCAAAGATCATCGCCTCAATTGGCCTTGCGGCTTCTGCCCATGCCACAGTCATCCGCTATGAGCGCGATCTCGAAGCCAATGCCCCTGCTGCTCTCGAGAAGCGAGCCGAACCGACTGCCGCTTGGGTTACTGTCGATGATGAGATGCAGCCTGCGACGACATACACTCCCTCGTATACCACCGTCGATGGCACCACTTCACTGATCGATGCTCCCCCTCACGATCTTACCGCCAGTGTCTACACCTACACCAGCTGGGGCAAGATTCACACCAGCACTGGCGAGCCTCCCAACCCCCAGGCCACCGGCAAGCATGGCGAGGGTGTCTTTGCGCGATGCTACAACAAGGATGGCGATAATGCTCCTTTCTGCTCACCTTATGCCAACAGTACCCTCGATGTTAAGAACACATACTTTGGTGAGCAACAGAGTCGTTCGTTGATGCGTCAATTATAATAACTAACATACTTGTAGTTACCTGGGATCCTGATTACTTCAACAAGACCAAGTCCTCTGATAACTCTACTCTCTTGGTCACTGCCCGCCTCGACCTCTACAACCGTACTAGTGAAAAATGGGTGAAGTACAAGGAATTCACCGATTCCGCTGTCCCCGCCGCCTGGGGCTACTGGCCTTTCGATGTCAAGCAGGACTACATGAAGTACTCGCCCTACAACATCTCCATCACCCTCTACAGCAACAGCAACAACTCCCTCGAGAAGACCAAGTCCTCAACTCTTTACCTCAACCTTAATGATCAGAACTTCCCTGAGAAGTCCCACGAGAAGCTGCCCGAGGGCCAGACCCTGACCATCGCTCTGCCTGTCGTCTTCGGCTCTCTCTTCCTACTTGTCGTCGGTGGCTTCCTCTGGAACCGCAAGACCCGGCGTATCGGACTCGGCAACATCTCGAGCCGTTCTCGTCACGGTTACACTGGTCGTGCCAAGCGCCGTATCTTTGGTGCCAGAGATAATGGTATCCAGCTCGATACTTCAGTTCCTCCACCCGGTGAATACCGTGACGCTCCCCAGCGTGCTCGTGCCGACAGCGACGGTCTCGGCAGCTTGGCTGGTAGCCCTGTCGATCCTACATTCCCTCAGCAGGGCACCACAGGTGGTCGCAATGCTTTCCGCGACGAAGTGCGAAGACAGGAGGAAGAGAGACGTATGTAAAAAGAGGTGATATTTTTGTAATCTTGGATGTCATCATTGCTGGTTCTGTTCGAACATTCACAAATGACTTGTTATAGTGTGCATCTAGATGACTGGAGGTTTAGTGTAACGTTTTCACACGACGCATAACGAAAATCAATACGAAAAAAGACCTTTCTAGACCGAAAATAGAGTGACCTCTTGGGTCCATGTAACAAAATTACTCTGTACAGGAGAGCATCGCCAAAAACAACCAAGTTCCTAATCCGTAAAATCAAAGCCATCTGCCGAAAAGTATCATACGCCGGGCGTCATGGGTATTGAAGCCATCCCTAGCAAAATCCCACCCCTAGCAGATTGCGATAGTCGATGACCAAGACATCAACAAGCAAGCCGTAGCAACTCCAAAAGGCATGTAATGTAAATGAGCAGTATAACTCCCCATGCGCCGTTCTAGACCTTGGCCCGCTTAGTGTTCCCAACACTTTGCCCGTCGTCCTCGAAACGTCTCTTTGTCTTTTCGGGTGCTGGCGTCGCAGGAGGTGATTCCTGCTCTGCCGCCAAATCAAAACCAGCACAAAGGTCGAGCTGTGTCTCTCCCTCTTGTAATGGCCTCAGCAAGTCAGCTGGGATGGCCGTGGCCAGCTGACACCTCGCCTCACAAGGCTGATATGTGCTCGTTGTCCACGCATCGTCAGCGTAGTTCTTGGCCTCAGCGATGGTATATCCAGTGCTGAAGCCCTCGTGGTATGCATCTGGGAGAATCACTATTGTCTCGCCAGGGCGCTGGTCAATAATGCGGTAAGGTATACCAAGTTTTTCCAGTTTCTGAGGAAAGAAAAACTCGGCTCGATGCCGCATGAACTGAGAGCACTTGTCCTTGCGGCCAAGTGCCTCTTCAGCAACATCAACCGCAGTTGACGGTACCACAATCCAAATTTTCCGACCTTTGTACAGATGGTTCAGAGATACCAAGCGAAAGTCTTCTGCGTGTATCTGGAAACTGGCTCCGAAATGGGGTCCTGATTCATACACATATGGAGTATGGATTCCAGGAATTATGGCTTTTGTGTTGTCCAATTTATCACCTTTAAGGGGATAAATCGGGCTTTTTTCAGGAACTCCGGCTTCAAGGCGTTGTTCGGGAGTCCATGCAGGCACATCAACTCGATAACGTACACTGCGAATCTGCTTGTGGTCGTTCTTGCGATAAAGTTTTCTGAGCTGATCGATGGCCTTGATCGCCGTGGCATTACATTTCGCGCCTGTAACGGACGAGTTGAAACTGCCGACGGACGGAACCGTGTCAACTCGCCAGAAGCTGTTCCTTTTAATTTGAGTCGGGCGATAAGCATTCGCCGGTACTTTTTGGGAGTCCTTTGCTGGGAGGTCTTCTATGAGTTCCTCAGGAAGGACGATTTTAAAACAACCGTGGCCTTCAGCCTTGAGGCTTCTGGCAAATGCGAGATTCGCTGGAAAGTCGTTCCATTGCTCGACGGTTGGCTTGAGTCGGAGAACTTGATGACCCTCGGGGCCATCCCAGTCAAAATCTATTGGTTCAGGTTCTGCGGCAGGCTCATCCAATTCGGATGGTAGATCACTGAGAATTGAGCTTGCGTCGTCTCCTTCAAGGTCCGGGGAGAGTGATGGGGCTTGTCCAAGCGGAGATGGACCGTTCGGAACGATATCTTGGTCTGTGATTAATTGAGAGGGCTGAGGATACTGTGGTTCGATGACGTTTTGGTGTGTTTTGGCGGGGATTGGACGCTGCTCGTCTAGGGATTCGGTAGTGGGAAGTGGCCCAGGCCCAGGCCCAGGCGCAGGTTCAGGTTCAGGTTCAAGGTGCGAA